GATTTACTATGGGGGAAGTGGGGGCAGCGGAGTTACTAAGCATGATGATTTAAAATTATATTTATATTTATATGCTTAATATACACATTATATACCGTAAGTACGAAGCTTTGACCCAAAAGCGTGTTTGGCCTTGCGGATACGGTGTCCAATGTGTGTGTCCTTGTCCCTAGTATCAGGGGTTTGAAACCAGTTTCTATCCTTTTTCCATTCCTTTTCTTTTATCGTCTTTCATTCCTATTGTTTTAAGTGATTTTACATAATTTTATCAATTTTTCTTAAATTTGAAAGATTCAACTACTTCATTACAATTTTTGTTTACCATACTTTCTTTGTTCTTTTTTAATTGTACCGATTCACTTTTCACGTTTGTCAATGCACAAGTTTGACCATTAATATCTTTCATTCCTTATTAATAAAAAATTAAAAAAAAATCTGATTTTGATAATTTAAAATGAGAGAAATTAACAATATTTTTCAAAAAATTAATTTGTTATAAATTAATAAATAAAATTTAATCAAAGTAAAATATGTGAACAGTGCAAAATCACCAACGTTGCAACTAAAAGAGAATGAATGTTTTATAATTTGTGATTTTGCAATTACATTTTTATACTAAATAGAAACTTATTTTTAGATATAATTGTGCATTCAAATTTTACATTAATACTAAATAAAAACAATATTCGTCCCTTATTCAACTCATCTATTTTTCTAACATATTTTAGAAAATTAAAAACTTTATGACTAATTTATTTATATCCAACTTCACAAAAAAATCTTATTGCATTCAACTGAATGTGACATGATTGAGAGAATATGTGAAGTAAATTCGCCCCCACTCACAATAAATTCTGGATACGCCACTAATGTTGATGATAATAGCTAGGCTAAAAGATGAGACCATGAATGTAGTGTACAAAGAAGTTTTTCATAACTTATAATTATTCATGTATTCTATGCAACTACGTTTAAGCATATTGTCGTAATATTTCAATAATCAAACAATTTTTATTGTTTTTTGTTGTACTATGAAGTTCACCTCTTTTACCAACTATGCATACAATGAATATTATGATCTGATAACTCACTCACCGTGCATCACACGGGTACCGTACTAGTATACATAAAAGCTGGACCGTATGGTTAAACCTGTTCCCGCCTAGAAATTACAAGTGACACGTGGCACAAGCTGATTACATATAGCATATTACAGAAAAATCACAACACACGTTGTGCATATATGTACAACGGATGTTCTTGCAGTTCCCATTCAGCAGTTTCCACTTTCCACTAACATTCTCTGCATATACACCGGCACAAGACATTATAAATAGAGATATTACCCAAAATGGGACTAAAAAGTTTGAAAATTCCAAAATAGGACTTTCATGTTTTTATTCCCAAAATAGGACTAATTACTGTCATGTTTTGGCAGTACCTGACTTCAAACATGACAGTATTTTCCAAATTTGGCATTAATTAGTCCTATTTTCGGAATAAAAACGTGACAGTCCTATTTTGGAATTTTTGAACTTTTTTAGTCCCATTTCGGAAACTTTCCCTTATAAATACCTCTCTTCAGCTATCAGTTTAATCACACTATCCGGTAAAATTATGTGCGTGTTACTCTTGCTATTTTCTTTATCAATTGCATGTTGATAAGTATTTGTTTTAGTTAACATCTGTGATTTGATACTTCAAATTCAATCGCCGTGCATCCTGGATGTCCAGCTTTCACCAGCTAAAATGTTACATTACACACTTTCACGATCGCCAGGTAGACTTGAACCATTTGGTTACAAAACTTTTAGACATGTAACTTTAATAAACAAAATCTATCTTCTGATTTTTACAAGCAAATTTATGAACCGTTATATTCAGGTAACATTGCAAGGTTTTAGAGAACAGATAAAAGGAAGGAAACTAAGGCATATGGTCATATGGTGGTACTTGGTGTGCAAGTTTGTGCAAGGAACGTATCTCCCAAGTATGGAAGATATGAATGTGTCATACGTACGTTTGTAGAAAGACCATGATGCAGTGATGAGGTTTGTTTTTAAACAAGATACTTTTTCAGATTATAAGTCTACAATAGTAAAATATACTAGGTACGAAAGTATACCCACAGTTTACATCTTTGTGTCTCTATAAGTATATAATAAAGGCTAAAGGGTCAAATAGGTACATGAACTAGCTTAAAGTGTTCAATTAACCCCCTTATATCGGAGGTTCTGTTCGGCCGTCACCAATTAGGGCGGTTCCCGGTTGAATTTTTTGATGAAATATTTTGAGCATCTTCTTCATTGAGTCTAGTTTACTCATATCAAATTTCAGCTAAAAATTAAATCGGGAAGGCAGTCAAATGATTTTCCTAATATGTACCGCGTTGTTTAACTGCGCAGTTATCTTCAAAAAATCATTTGACTGCCTTCCCAATTGAATTTTTAGCTAAAATTTGGTATGAGCAAAATAGACTTAATGAAGAAGATTCTAAAAAAAAATCATCAAAAAATTATGCCGGGAACCGCTTCAATTGACGACGGTCGGGCAGAACCTCCTATATAAGGGGTTAATTGAACACTTTAAGTTAGTTCATGTACCTATTTGACCCTTTAGCCTATAATAAATATTAAGATTAAGGGTGTATTTATCAGTTAATAGTGAAAATGGTAGTATTTATTAGTTATATAAATGACTAGATAGTAGATACAAAGTGAAGATTCACATTATCGAAAACAACTACCGGTGGGCGTAGCTCAACTGGTAGCAAGGGAGTGCCACAAAGGTTAGGTCTCGGGTTCGAATCCCGACAACTGCGATGAGGGGTTACTATGCTGAAAAATGCATAGGGCTTCTGCAAGTACCGGGACAGAGCCCCACTCTCTATCTGTCAGATTGTGATTATAGTCCAATTTACATCCTCCCATCGTGTCGTCCGGTCGGTGTTGGGGGGCCCTCAGGGATGGGGTGTCATCCTTTTTTTTTTTTTTACATTATCGAAAACAACTGGAAAAATGGCAACCGAATTTAGGGTAGATCTGGAAAGAAAAGATTTATATGTTTGCATTACTCAAAGAATACTATATATATAGTATTATAGGCATACATAATAAATACAAGGGAACACAATGATGGGTTTTCTATGAAGATTATATACATTTAATAGACAAGAAAGTTTGTTCTTGGCACAAGTTCAAAATCATAGTTTGAGGAAAGGTGATTTTGCTTTTATCCTTCTAAAAATTCACTCATAAACAAACTGGGAACTTATCATGCCAAGTTAGGTATGTACATACTTTTATGAACTTTTATTTGAACGCAATTGCTGTTAAATTTTTAATGACCAGTCAGGAATAAGGTCCCTAGTGTCAAAAGGGGAATGAGTAAAAGGAAAAATGACCTTACACTACATGATTCCCCAGGTTTCGATGATGATTGAAGATTGGGAGGGAAATGGGCTGTTGAGATGGATGGTGACAAACTAAAAGGATTAGGAAAGAAGAACAAGAAAGTTGTGCGTATCAAATTAGAGATAAGCTGAAAGGATGGTCTATGTTGTTCATATGAGTTTATAAGATCATGGCTATTTTGTATGTCCCTCTGTAGTTTTAACTAAATGTGTTCACAAACAAAATAGAAATAATTACATGACTAAAATAAAGATAGTTTACAAAAATATGACTATTTACTAGTAGTAATGAAATCATAGTAATTCAGGTTCAAGTTTTGAACTTAAGTTACCACAACACTACGTTGTAGTAATGAATAGTCATATTCTTGTAAATAAGTTTAATTTTAATAATATTCTTGTAAAAAGCCCGTTATGACATATATATGTAAATGATCACTTCTCAATCAATTAGATCTAACAAGATATCTCACTAGATAACAATAAAAAACAGTTCTTTTATTAAACGCATATCTTATTGATGCTGTGATGATAGCAAAATACAAAATGAGTTTGTAACTATAAAAATAGTTTCTAAGTTATATTATCACAAAAACCTACAACTAAAATCATGCAATAATATATACTCCGTTTTATATTGTAAACGAAAATAATAGATTATAAGATTAGATGCCCCTTGACAAATAAAAAGAATCGGATGCTGCGTATGTTAATTTGAAGAGTCAACCTATAGCAACGCAAGCTAACATCGAGATATGACTAATATTCAAATATTTGGACAATAATATATAGGTAAAGAAACGAACTAGGACTAGGAGTGGTTGTAATTGGGCTAGGAGAGTGTATACATGGGCTGAAATTATATGGGTTGAGGTCAATTGGACTATCTAAATATGATGTTATGTTTGGTACGGAGTACATAAATACTCCATATGTTTTTTTAAAAAAAACTTGGTAAAGATACAATGTATTAGTTTAACTGATTAAATGAATTAAATTGTTTTCCAAAAAAAATGATTTGAATTGTGAAACATCGTATGTAAAATGGTTTTATTAATCAATTAAATAAAAAATATCTAAAATATCTCAAATAGTCTTATTCAGCCATTTTAAACAACTCAATAAGACAGTTAATTTTATTCCTATATATTTTGATTGTTACCATTTTCTATGGAACTAAAGACTCGCTATTTTTTGGTTTGAAAATTGAAATATGATGGAATGAATCAAAATGGTTCACTAAACTGTCTGCGCTGCTTGATTATGAAGCAACAACCATTACATGCAATTTTCGACGTGATTTACACTATGAGTCATCTGGAATAGTCTCTTTGTGCCTTAATACAGGGTAAGATTGTGACACTAGGCTAATGAAGACGATGGTCATATTGTGATTTTTACATAATTCTGCATAGAAAATCAAAAGTTACAAATTTGATAAACAACTTGTCTTATAAGAATGATATGTCAAAATGTTGATAAGTGAAAATGTAAAAGATTAAAAATATTATTACATTGAGTAGTTCCACAATAAATGTTATGTATTCATACGTTTTCTTTTTCACATCATATATGTTTTTCAATATTATTAGAATAAAAATATTTTTTATTAATTAATTCCAATATGTATGTATCATTTCTAAAATGTAAAAAATAATGTTGTCCCGTACATCGCATGAGTAACATACTAGTTACCGATTAAAATGAGCAAAAATTTCGCAACTTTTTTACTAAAGTACTTAAGTACTCCGTAATACTCGTATAAAGTTAAAACTGTCAAAGAAAAGAACTTGATGGCAAGGGAGAGATAGAGAGCCGCCCCGGGTCGACTCGACCGGTGTCTAAGTCTTGAGCCGAGCGACCCACGACTTGTGCTCGCTCCATTATGTTCCGTCACGCCGCTACTCGCTTATGGAACCGATCATCCTCTTCTGTAAGATCGTTGTGACAGTTCTCCACGCCGTCGGCCGACGAAGCCTTTGTATCCGCCTGGAGAAGGGTGGTTCCTTCCGTTGATCCTCCCAAGACTCCCCTCTCCTTCATGAAATATCGGCCGCCAACCTCACCCGCTATCCCGTCCAAGCTCAAAATCAACTTCATTCTGCCATACGCTTCCGAGTTCTCTAACAACGAGGTAAATTCCTATTGCTCGCGGCATTCTTGGCTTACTTTTTATCCTTACTTTACCTCAATTTATGCTCTATACTTCAGATTCCTGCACAAAATTCAAGCTTTTCGGAAGTTTTTGCTTAGGCAATGCTTTGTTGAGGTTGGTAATGAGAAAGTTTTGCTGAACTTGTATCATTTTGAAAGTGCTTTGCTTATTCTTCTTCGGTAATACTACATTATAGATTAGCATATTAAGCTGTATTGTTGTTTGTGTTGCTCTTCTTATATGGCATGATAGGCCCCAAGAAATGTTGGACATAAGCTGCTACTATCAATTTACTGTAAAGTGTCATATTGTCTCTTTAATTCATTCTACCTAAACCATGAGAAATCAAGAGACTGGAATGGGTGGTAATATTTGGTTCAAAGGTAATAGTTGGGATTGAGATACAAGGATGACTAAGACTCCCATATCACTAGTCAAATGTTGGTTAGACTAAGCCATTCCTTTTTAATGCGAGTGGACAAAGTCTCTATAAGTAGTTAAATGTGAATTTTAAGAAGGAAAGTAAATGGTCCAAGGAAACTGAATAACCTCATTCTAATGAACTACTACTTCCGTTCCCTAAGATTGAGACTGGGGCAAGAGGAAGTGGTGTAGTGTTTTAAAAAGTAAAATCATGTAGGTGATATTAAATTGGTAAGTGTGAAACGTGAATAAAGTAAAAATGAAATAGAACCACACAAATATTACTAAAATGGTACGGGACAAGAAAGGAAAAATGGGACAATCATAAACGGAGAGAGAGTAATATGTACTCAAATACTCCACAAGCGTGAAATTGTGTATGCTTTTACAATTATGTGATTAAAATCATTTTTAAATACTAAGGTATGTAAATCAACAGTTCAAAAGAATGTTTGGGAATTGGGATGATTTGTTTTCAAGAATCACTGAGTTTACTTTTTTGGTTTAGGGAGTGCAAGAGTTTGTTTGAGATGACTTGTTTTGAAAAATAACTGGTTTTCATCAGAAGAAGAGAAATAGCCGACCCCAAATTCTTAGACCGGCACGGCAGCATTCAACTCTATTTATGACGCACAACCAATTATTATTCTTGTAACAATTCATAATTTCATATGTTATACGTTATTTCAAAAAAATCATACTCGTATGTTATACGAGTAGTAGTATATCAATACCAAAGTAAACATATATTCATATATATATGTTAAAATGTTAAATAACTGAATAGCAAAAACATGGTGCAGAAGGATTTAATAAGTTTTCAGCCTAGCTTGTTCACTGCTTCTTTATTTGGGACTAAATTACAAATAACCGAACTTGGTCTATTAATATGACTAGGAAGGTAACGTGACTCGGGTGGCTACATGATTGGCTAAAAAACATTGTCTACCGGAACCTCCTTTATTAAGGAAGGTACCATAGAAAATTCCCCGTAAAAAATTAATAGAGTATACACAACATAAATAGGAAAAATCTGTTTGTACCAATTTAAAAAACTAGTCTAAATATTGGGCACGATCTCATTTACGCAACGTGCAATTTAAAAAACTAGTCTAAATAACAGGAGTAAAAAACATACTTGCCGGATTTTCAAGGAATATGCTCTTACGATTTTGCTAAGCAGTCTCATACATATTTTTGTGTGTCGTAAAGCTTGAAGAAATGTTTTACAGAATAAATGAATAAATAAAGTTACTGAACCCTAATCTGCAGTAAAATTCTATTTCATCAAGCATGTAAAACCATTTAAGTGAAAAAAGGGTCAATTTGACTGGAAAATCTTATTAACTTGCCAGATCCAAGAATACATCATTCCTATGGAGCAGTATGCAGAGATCATCAAAAGGGGTAAAAAGGGAAACCTCTGGCCGAGGATGAGGCGGTGAAAAAGCAGGCCCCATGCCTCCACGGCGAGAAGACCCAACAGATAAATCTTTTCCAAAAATCCAATTTGGAAACACACATTCCTTGAAGCAATAATACAAGTTTCCCCTTCATCACATCTCTTCCCTACAGCCGCTTCTTTTGAGACATTATTGTTGGAGAAGTGATGAAAGGAAAATCCCAACCACATAATTATAACGTGTAAAAGCAGTAAGAGAACCTTAATGGGATATTCTTGAGCTTCAAATAGGAGCGGGAAGAACGAATAGCAAGACACTGCATAAAGATTGAAGTCGCATTAGTCTTTCGATAAATACGTCTATATCCAAAACAAATAAAATTAAAATAATATTGTAACTATGGTCTTTGGTGATTTATGCACTCCTGCCAATTTAATCCATATAACAAAATCTGTATAAAAGTTCAAAAACAAAATGCAATACAAAACAACTCGGCACATTCTGTTGTGTTAAATAAACACTTGAAAAACACCTCTACAAGGATTGGAGTAAATTACCTATTGATAAGAAGAAATAATGTTTTCCATCTTCCATACTTTTACTGGCAACAACAGCTAGAGGTATCACAAAGTGAAGTGATGCCTTCTCATGGACATGCCAACCAAACATAAAGCCACATGTGTAAGCATAGGCTACCAATCTAGTGATCATTCCTGGTTTGGGATCTTTCCAAGCCTTTACAAGAGAAGGAATTAATGCCAGCAAGACCATCCCAAATGTGGTTAATGGAGTCACCTGCAGTTAAATGTAGTCTGAAACGTGATCATCACCACCCTGAATTTGGATATAAGAAACACGAAACTAACAAATCGATATAATTTCTAGAGGTCGGCAAGGACCCATCATGCAACATTTTGGACATTGCTCAAACATAAATCTGTCTTTTATGAGATGACAGCTTAAAAGCCCGTTTGCTAAGGTGAATTTGGTTTGAATTACTAAACTTGGTTTCGTATTTTGATAAAGTTACTGAAATTTCTGAATTGTGAAAAGAAACATTTAAGTCATGTTTTTATGTAAAATAAAGACATAGCAACAAGGTAAAGTGATGATCTTCAACAACTTTGGCCAAAAAGTTCACTTATTCCTAATTTCCTAATATTTTCGTTATTAACCAATTCAGAAGCAGAGAGTCGAAAAAGTTAGTCTTTGGTAAAAACATCTAGACGATAAGACTGCTAAGCTGGAAACTGTGGCTACCAAACAGACACTGAATGAAGGTTAATAAAAATTCAGTAAGAAAAGATTAGAATGGTTACCCTGGGTAGTACAGCAAAAGGTGAAGAATCACCCACCAGCCCACTGGTGAATGAAGCAGTTGGCGCTGAGATTGTGAATCCAAATTTCGTAAGTATAAAAGCAACTACTTTATCTAGAAGTATATAGAACACCCAGAAATTTGGAGCCCAATATGCATGACAGAGTCCCCTACCAAAAGGAAACATGCGGTTTAGGACTTGATGTATCTGTAAATGTGTATAGTTCACAAATTGGTCAGCAAAGTGGATTGAGAACACATCTGTAAAGTAACTGTATGCATATAGTGATCAAAACTTCATAATAAGTTTAAAGAAGATATTTTTTAGTTATGCAACAGAAATTACTTGTCCATAGTGCATGAATGGTCCAAAAGCTGCAGCAAAAACAGAAATGACGACGCTGCCCATCAATGCCAGTCTCCCAATCCCCTTAAACCATCCACCCCTGCAATAGTGCCTCAACAAATAGACAAAGTAAACAGGGGCAGCCACCGCAAATAAATGCTTAAAGCAAAGCAAAACTGCGAACAAGAACCCTCCCAGCAAGTCTTTTCCCTCCTCTAAAGCAGAAAGTGAAAGCAGAAGAATCCCCAAGAGAAACCCATTGTACTGAAAATGCAAATGGTCTACGATGATTAATCCAGGCGACCAAAGAACCAACACCCACATCAAGATCCGCTCTCTGAGCTCCAGTTTGCGGGACAGTCTGCAAATTGCGTATACTAAAACGACGTCGGATAGAGTGACGCTGAGTCTTTGGAAGAGAATAGTGGCTGTAGACTTGTAATCGAGTCCGCCGTGGAGGTCAACCATTGTAGGGTCGATGATGGCGGCAAAGAAGGAGAGCAAGTGTTCGAAATGGGCGAATAACGGCGGGTAATCGAGGGTCCAAGGGCTAGTCTCGTCGGCATACCATTGAGACAGAGGAAGCGAGTGGGTAATGGCGAGCCAGTTGCGGTGGACCTCAAAATCAGAGCTGTGGTAAGCTGGGATTAGGAGGATCTTGATAATAGCGGCGGCAAGGGAAAACCAGGCAATCTCAGAAACTACTGAATTGGAATTTCGGATCTGTAATGTATGGTTGCCATCGCCTCCGTCATGGTGGTGGTGCTTCCGGATGTTCATGCCGTTTAGCCAGAGGGGAATCTCTGGTGGCAACCAGGACGGGATTGAAAGGGAAAGAGAAAATCTTTATCCTCTATCTAAAAATACTTAAAAATCTTCCGATTTCAAAAGTAGGTAGATTAAGAATAGTGAAAGAAGATATGAATTATTGAGAATATGATGAGAAGATAGTGGAATATTGTGATGAAATGTAGGGAAATCCAAAAAAGTAATTCTAATAGTGTACGGAGTATTATTTTGATAATTATTGAGGGTATGATGAGAAATTTAAAAATGAGAAGATTTTTTTGTTACAGACAAAAAGGGAAAGTGGGAAGATTTTTATGTTACGGAGCGAGTAATTGATATACACGGTAAAAATACAAGCTGGCTTTTCATTCTTTGGTTCCCGTGCAAATAAAAGAGAGATGGGTCTGAATTCCCGTGCAAATAAAAGAGAGCTGGCCTGAATTTCCCTGCAAAAAAACAGTTGGCCTGAATTCCCATGCAAAAAACAGCTGAATTGCAAAATAAAAACAAAAATACTACCTCCGGTCTTTTTTTAATCTTCACAGTTTGACTTCACACAAAATAAGGAAAGAAATTTGACTTTACTGTAGAGTACACTGTTGAGGCACTGTTTGACACTGTAGAGACACTGTTTGGCACTGTTGAGACACTGTTTGGCACTGTTGAGACACTGTTTGCCACTGTTTAGCACTGTTTAAGTGTAGATTTCTTTGCCAAAAAAGGAAATAAGGAAGTGTGAAGTTTATTTTAGACTGCCCCAAAAAGGAAAGTGTGAAGTTTATTAAAAACCGGAGGGAGTATATAGTAGTAATAAGTAATAACAAGGAAGGGTCAAATAGGCTCTTGAACTATCTTAAAGTGTTCAATTGACCCCTAATATAGAAGGTTCAGCCCGGTCATCACCAATTGGAGAGATTCCCGGTTGAATTTTTTGATGAAATTTTTTTAACATCTTCTTCATTAAGTCTAGTTTACACATATCAAATTTCAGCTAAAAATTAAATCGGGAAGGCACTCAAATGATTTTCCGAAATGTACTGCGCTGTTTAACTGCGAAGTTATTTTCAAAAAAACATTTGACTGCCTTCCCAGTTAAATTTTTAGCTGAAATTTGATATGGGTAGACTATACTTAATGAAGAAGATGTTCAAACTGTTTCATCAAAACATTCCACCGGGAACCGTCCCAATTGGCAACGACCGGGCAGAACCTCCTATATAAGGGGCTAACTGAACACTTTAATTAGTTCAAGGACCTATTTGACCATTTAGCCTAATAACACAGCTTACGTGCAAAAAACACAGCTCCTCCTTGGTTAAAGCGAGGAAAAGCAAGAAATATAGTTGTCAAACTTGATGGTTGGGATTATCCAGTTGGTATCTGCGGTTCAAATTCAATTAGCACAATACATTGAAAACATTATAACATCTTTATCTTAATCTTTATATAATATAAAGTAACAGTGTTGACATCACGATTGGAGGGGAAATCCCGCCCAAAATGAGATCAAAATATGAATTTTATGTCAACTTCAATTTTATCACACTCGGATATGGATACATGCCGCCAAGGATACACTTTATGCGATTTGTGTTTGTCTTAATTTACAAAAGAAAGTGCAGTTTAAACATTTTTTATCACCTTAAGTCAATTCCTTAAGGGAAGTAAAATACAACCTTAAAGTATTTTAAAGTCATACTTATATGATATTAAAGCATAGCCCAGGTGTGCAAAACAAAAGAGTAAACAGTTTTTACATTTTTTTCAAAAATCATTATTATGGGTAACAGGCTAGCATCCGAGGGTCGTTCAGTTACTCCAGTTGTGAGTAGCATGTCATATCAGGGTACGCGCACTTTCAAGGAAGATCTAATGCAGAACCCTCACATGACCATTTCTGACTTGAAAGATTCTACAGAGTTTTTTAAAATAAGAAAAAAAAGGATGACACCTCATCCCTTGGAGCCTCCCAACACCGACCGGACAGCACGATGTGAGGATGTAAATTGGACTATAATCACAACCTGACAGACAGAGAGTGGGACTCCGTCCCTAGTACTTGCAGAGGCCCTATGCATTTTTCAGCATAGTAACCCCTTATCGCAATTGCCGGGATTCGACCCCGAGACCTAACCCTTGTGGCACTCCCTCGCTACTAGTTGAGCTACGCCCACCGGTAGTTTTTTAAAATAAGAAAACATTGAAAATAGTACATTTAAGTTAACATATATAGTTGAGAATAGCCTACAGTTTTTTATGTTGTTTACTGAATTTGCAGAATTATTGCCCATTTGTTCTCGCAACAATTATTGAGTTAGGTGACGGTGAGTGGTATTATCACCACCTGTTATAGGAAATGTTACCCTCTAGGCAGTAAGTTCTATTGTGAGGGTTCAAGGTGTGAACGAGAGAGGTCTGCGATTCCCAGGTATTACCCATTCTTTATATTTTCTTAATTTTCTTAATTGCTATCGGGAAAGGTAATTTAAGGTTAGTGTTTTCATTCAGGTTTAAGGTGAAGTTTAAAGTTATTGATCAAATTGGATCCACTATGTTTACTGCTTTTGATCGTGTGATGACTAGAATGTTAGGAAAATCTGCTACGGACTTGCTCACTACCATACGCAAGGTACTTGAGATTGCAAAGCCCATGTATTAGTTTTTTCTAAAACTTCAGTTATTTTGTATCCCCTTTGAAACCTGACTCTAAAAAACATTCTTTGTGCAGAAAAATGTTGACTGTTCTGAAGCAGAGGAATTAAATATATTAATTGGTAAAAGGTTTTTGTTCAAGGTAGAGAACGGTGATGGCGATATAGGAAAGGGCTGGAGAAGTTATACTATAAAGGAAATAATTACGGATGAGGAAAAAATAGATCACTTTAAAATGCTAAGTCCGGTGAAGGTGTGTAAGATTACTTTATTATTGAGATAAAACAGTGTATTTATATTAAAATATATTATTACATGTGCAAAGTGAAATGCTAAATGAAGGTTTTTTTAAATCCTGAAATTTAGGATTCTGTGGAGATGATGCAGAACTCACTGTTTGTGGTTTTCAAGAGTTTGGTGACAATGAAAAGGTAATGTACTTTGTACCATATGTTTTTTATTGTAACATATGTTACATATTTACAGAGTACTTATGTATTACATTTGGAATTAAAACTTTTCATAGGTGTGTCATTGAAAAATTGGCACCAAATAACTTACAATTATTTATTTATTGATTTGTCCTAGAATTGCTCCGTGAATGTGGATGCCAGTACTCCAACTAGCACATCAAGTGGAAAGAGGTCAGGTGGTATTGTGGAATGTAGTGAGACTCAGGCATCGAGCACAAAAGTGAGAAAGGTTGTTGAAGTGAAAATGTAGCCCATTGAATGAAGGGTGTGTGTCACTAGAGCAGCTTGGATTTATTCAAACTCTTCTTTCATATTCAGTTTCTTTGAGATTTGAATTGGTAGTTTTTTTAGGTATTATAAAACTATTCAGTTTTGTGCCAGTTTGGCAACAATTTGATTAAGTACTTCAATCATTTGCGTCATTTTTGTTTATTTTTAATATATTGTTGTAGTCTTTTCATATGTTATTAGAGCTATTTACTTGAAGTGAAACCTCTATAACTTTATGTTTACAAATGAAAGTACATTGAGTTATTCTTTCTGAAATACCCTCTTAGCAGCCTCTCTAATTTATATATTAGAGATAAGTTATACCCTCTTTTAGCAGCCTAAAACAAACCTCTTTTAGTTTAATGAAAACTAAAACTTAATTTCCTTCACTTAATTTCCTACATTGAGTTATTCTTTCTGAAATACCATTTTAGCAGCCTCTCTAATTTATAAATTAGAGATAAATTATACCCTCTTTTAGCAGCCTAAAACAAACCTCTTTTAGTTTAATGAAAACTAAAACTGTAAAACAAACCTCTTTTAGCAGCCTCTCTAATTTATTAAAGCTTTCTTAAAGATAAGAAAGCTTGGCTCTAGAAAAATTTACTTAGGGCTATTTACTTGAAGTGAAATCTCTATAACTTTATGTTTACAAATGAAAGTACATTGAGTTATTCTCTCTGAAATACCCTCAAGAAAATATGTGTGACCTTTTTAGAACTTTTTTTTGCATACTTTTATGAAATACAACTAAAAATGAAAACTAAAACTGTAAAACAAACCTCTTTAAGTAGCCTCTCTAATTTATTTCAAAGTCCCCAAATATCTTTGGGACTTTAAACTATTTCACATTCCTTTAACAAACCCTACATAGAAAGTCCAGTGAATTACAAGAATATTACAATAACTAATCTGAGACAAAACGCATGAAACATTAAACCACATGGTTTAAAGTTTCAAATCAGAATTGTGAAACACAAATCATGTTTTGTTAAATGCAGTTTGAATAGTTTTAATTTTCACAGTTTAACCTATTTTTACTTTACTAGGTCAATCTGTGAAAATTGAAGCTATTCAAGTGAATCTGTTAGCTATATGTGAACTTATAGTTCTATTAGCTTAATTTGAAGTTATAGTTCTATTATGCTAATTAAACTACCTCGATTTGAAGCTAATCGAGGTAGTTCTATTACCTTGATTTGAAGTTTCAATGTATTTTATGCTTCGAATAGTTTTCACTTGAATAATCTGGACTCTCTCTACTGTACATATAAATTGAAATGTACCTCTTTTCATAGCCAAGTTTTTCAGTTAGCCTGACTTAATTTTTTCCACCTTTGACACATTCACTTCTGCTCTTTGTGAGAGCAGAAGGCACGCACAAAGAGGGACTACATGTGTGGTGAGTCATACGATTGCTGATTCCTTACCCAATAAAGTAATTACACAATAAAATTCAGATTTTTATTTCTGTAGAGAAATGCTTGAGGTTGTGATAGTCGGAAGTAAACAGGCAACAAGACAAGTACAAATGGATAGTAGATAGATCCAGCAATTAGAAAAAGAGTATGAAGGGAAAATGGAGAAATTAATAGATCTGGACTTCATTTTGTAATCTACACATAGGAAGAAAAAGAAAGAAAACCTGCTCTGCACCTTCTGTATTAGAGA